CTCAAGCAAGTAAACAGAAGTAACTTTGCTCTTATTCATGATAATAGGCATTACATTGAGCTTAAAAAGCTCATCAGTTACATAATGTTTGCCTACAAACATTCCTAACTTAGACACAACAACCTTGTCTGACTCGAACACCATGCGAAAGCCCTACTTGTTCAACAGTGAGCCAGACACCAAATTCTTCCTCAGCTCTGGAACATACAGCACGTTGTTCAACGTCAGTTCCTTCCCGGAAGTCATCTTCAGAACCACCTTGCCCACGCCTTCCACAGCAAACTGAGCAGAGTTTCCCATCCAAACTTTCTCGCCCTCAACGGTCTCAAAGGTGTTGAACATCTCTCGGTTGCAACACAAATGCCTTGTTGCACCAATATCGATGAACCACTCTCGTGGCTTAGAGTCCACGAGGTTCACCTCGGTCACCATAGCCGAAAGGCTAATCTCGACCTCCTTCTGACTGCTTTCTTCAACCATGTTGGCTTCAGAATGCTTGTTCTTCTTCTTTGGAACTTTACATTCAGAATACTTGTGGCCAAACTTGCCACAATTGAAGCATTTTCCATGAAACTTGTTCTTGGTAATGCCTCCACTTGGACCTAGCTTTCGCTTATCCTTCTTGTTCTTCTTAGAGCTTTTAGCATGCTCCACAACATTGGCCATAGCGCCAACAGTGACAAGATTTCTCTCATCATTCGTCATGTTCCCCTCCTCAATTCTGAGTCGCTGGATCAGGTCCTCCAGGTTCATTTCCTTTCTCTTATGCTTAAGGTAGTTCTTGAAGTCCTTCCACCCTGGAGGCAGCAAGTGGATAACAGATCCCACTAGGAAGGCTTCACTCAACGTCATGCCCTCGTCACGGATTTCGTCAAAGATTAGTTGTAAATCTTCTACCTGACTTAGCACGGTCTTGGAATCAACCATTTTGAAGTCAAGGAATCGGCCAACCACAAATTTCTTTGCGTCGGCATCCTCACTTCGGTATTTATGATCCAAGGCTTCCCACAGTGCTTTTTGTTGTGTCAATCTTGCGATATACATCGTACAACGCATCACATAGTCCGTTCAGGATGTAGTTTCGGCATAGGAAGTCCGAATCCTTCCAATAGCCAACTGCCATCACGGATTGGGCATCCTCTTCCCTTAGTTCGGGAACCTTCTCGGTCAAGAATCTCGCCAAGCCGAGAGTTGCCAGGTAGAACAACATCTTTTGTTAACACCTCTTGTAGTTCGATCCACTACCGGTGAACTTCTTCGGTCTTTCGGCCGAACCACTCGGTACCGAAGGTACCCGAGTCATAGGAATATATCCCTCAGTGCTCCCACCATCTTGTGAACCAACGTTCACTGGTGTAGCTTGGGAATTAGCAACATTGTTGCCATTCCCACTATTGTTGTTCTCAACAACATTCTCCTCCCCTGGATTAACGATAGGTACACCAAGGTTCTCCATTTCTTCTAGGAAATTAGAGATATCAACCAATGGGAAACGAGTATAAGGTTTTAAGATTGTTGGGTAATAAGGTGGAAAAATCCCAAAATAATAATCGTACGGAAAGATTAATATTTTATCGGAAAAACTGGGAAGGAAAAGGTGGAAACTTTGGGTATAGGTTAGCACGAGTTTGAACACAAAGTTCTTTTCCTTAAAACCTTATTTGCTACCTCCCACAAGTGCTAGGAGCGTTGTAGCCTAGGTTTCCCAGGATAAAACGTGCTACGATTCTTTGTTTAAGCACCTAAACAAAGAACCCGACAAACAAAGCAAGAGCAAGAACACTGGTTGGCTAAAGAAGAGAGTAGAAGCAGAAGTTTTGAAGCTAAAGTGTACTGGAATTCCTTTGATTTCTGTTCTGTGTAAAATGTTTCTGCCCTACCTCTCTTTATATAGGACTGTTGGAGGGATAGCAATCAACATGGCCATTAATTGGTATTAAAACCAATTATGTAACACCTATAACAGCCACCCACTAACTAGGATTAAACTAAGATTTAGGATTAAACTCAGATTTAAAATTGGAATTAAACAGTATTAATTTCGTTAACAGATGAGTTTAATCTGCACAACAAGCTGAACTTTTGGGTTTCAGACCGTTGGGGTGCACCTGTTCAGGACACGAGAGTACAACCCGAGAGCGCATCTCTCGTGTTTCTCGTGCTGTGGTGCAACACGAGAGTGCACCTCTCGATGAATATGGAAAGTGATGATTGATTGACTAACAGAATCAGATTACAATTAATACTCTCAGGAAAGAGAACTAACTAATAGCCAATAGACTAGGACTAATCTAGAATACATCAGATAATAAAAATATTAATAATAATAATAAAACCATAGACTAACACTCCCCCTCAAGCGTAAGGTGGGTGATTCACCACATTGAGCTTGGAACGAAGAACACCAAAACGTGCAGCTGGTAGCGGTTTTGTAAAAATATCAGCAAGCTGGTCCTTGGTGGAGACGTAGTGAACCCGGAACTCGCCAGACGAAACTTTGTCTCGGACAAAGTGATAGTCTACCTCGACATGCTTAGTGCGCGCATGAAAGACTGGGTTGGCGCATAAGTATGTCGCTCCAAGATTGTCGCACCAAAGAGTCGGTGGCGTTGCAGAGTCGAGGCCCAACTCACGAAGTAAAGATAGAACCCATGTAACCTCTGCACAAACGTCTGGTAAGCCTTTATATTCGGCTTCAGTTGACGAACGAGCCACTGTACGTTGTTTCCTAGAGACCCATGAGACAAGATTGGTACCTATGAAAACAGCATAACCACTAGTAGACTTACGATCCACTGGACACCCGGCCCAGTCAGAATCCGAGTAGGCATGTATTTCCGCGATCCTGGATGGTGAGATGCGAAACCCATAGTCTAGAGTCCCCTTTATATAGCAGAGAACTCGCTTAAGTAAACCACAATGCTCCTGTGTGGGACTGTGCATAAATTGACACAGTCGGTTGACCGCATAGGATATATCCGGTCGAGTGATGGAAAGATACTGAAGTGCCCCCGCTAGCCGCCTGTACTGTGTGGGATTATCAAAAAGCTCAACGGACTGGCTCACTGGTTGAGTAATGGACGTTGGTGTGGCTAGCGGCTTGCAGTCAGTCATGCCTGCTCGTTGCAGAATGTCTCGCATGTACCGCCGTTGTGTGAGAATCATACCATCTGGAACTGTGATGGTTTCTATGCCAAGAAAGAATGTTGGTGCCCCGAGATCCCGGATTTTAAACGTCGTAGCTAATCGCTTTAGTAGGGATTCAACTAAGACAGCATCATTTCCGAGCATGATGATGTCATCTACATACACAAGCAGAAAGACACGGGAATCTGTAGCCGAATAATGAAACAGAGATACATCTGTTTTGGAGGCAATAAACCCTGTTACAAGTAAGAAATCATGCAGACGGTGAAACCAGCCCCGAGGGGCCTGTTTAAGCCCATATAAGGAACGTTGCAAGTGGCAGACATGATCGGGATGATCGGGGTCCTCATACCCTGGTGGCTGGCGCATGTAGACAGTTTCTGACAAGTGTCCATTCAAGAAGGCGTTGTGAACATCCAGCTGACAGAGTGTCCACCCGCGTGATATGGCAAACGACACTAATATCCGAACTGTGGTCGGTTTGACCACAGGGCTAAATGTCTCAAAAAAGACTTCGCCTGCAACCTGGTTAAAACCCTTGGCCACCAGTCTTGCCTTGTAGCGCTCAACTGAATCATCAGCTTTGCGCTTAGTGCGAAACACCCATTTGCACCCCACAATGTTCATATTCGGTGTAGCAGGAACCAGCTGCCACGTGTTATTATGAAGTAACGCATTGAACTCTTGGTCCATAGCGTCTCGCCACTGTGGATGCCCAACTGCTTGGGAGTAGCAAGTAGGGTCCGTAGTTGAAGCTGTGAGTGCATGCAGTTGTTCTCCAGTCTCTTTAGTCATACGCCGTAGCCGCATGACGTGGGCCCGTTCCAGGGGCCGGGCCCGTGGACCCCTTTTCCTTGTTGCACGATCCGGTGCACGAGGAACAAGAGGTGTTGGTATACTTGGTGATGCTGATATGGTACCACTACCATTTTGGAGAACGGGACTGGAGCCCCATGGTACATTTTGGATGTCAGGCGGCACTTCCCGAATTTCGGGACTAGTTTCTGCAAAAGGAAAAACGGATTCGTCAAAGCGGACGTGACGACAAGTATAGGTTTTCCCGGTGTTTAGGCTCATGCAGCGGTAAACCCTAAAGGACGGTGGAAACCTAAGAAGACACAGGGACTTGACCGATACTCGATTTTATGGCGATTATATGGACGGAGATAGGAAAAACAAAGGCACCCAAACACACGTAGATGTGTGTACATGGGAGGGGCCTTGTAAAGGCGATAATACAGTGTATCAAACTGGAGTGGAGCAGACGGGAGTCGATTGATTAGGAAGGTGGCTGTTTCAAACGCGTGATCCCAATAACGTTGTGGGACAGACGCTTGTGCCATTAGAGCCAAGCCGGTCTCAACAATATGCCGATGCCGGTGTTCCACACGGCCATTTTGCTCGTGTGTTTAGGCGCACGATTGTCTGTGGACAATCCCTAATTTGGAGAAAAGTTTGTGTAATTTTTGGTATTCCCCTCCCAAGTCGGACTGAATGGACTTGATAGAACACGAAAAAGTGCGTTCTACCGTCGCCCGAAAAACGTCAAAGATTTTATATATGTCGGTTTTAAGACGTAGAGGATAATACCAACAGTATCGGGTGTTATCATCTACGAATAGTACAAAATAACGGGAGCCATCTGCAGAAATAACTGGCGCGGGGCCCCATATATCAGTGAAAATTAAATCGAGTACATTATTACTTGACTTGACTACCCTATCTAAAGGAAATCGGGCAGCTTTGCCAAGTTGACACGGAGAACATAATTTGGGAACAGCAACTTTATTTGACTCAACGGGGCATTCTCGCAAAACACGATGAAGCGCTTGACTGTGTGGGTGACCGAGACGCTAATGCCAGACCATGGAAGTGGCACGAGCCGAAACAAACGCATAATGTGCACTAGGAACTGACAGCGAATACAAGCCCCCCGAGCTTGGCCCTTTAAGCAAGACCGTCTGAGTGATGCAGTCCTTCACAACAAAAAACGTGGGGTGAAACTCAAAATAGCAGTTATTATCTCTAGTAAAACGGCTAACAGATAATAACGACGCAGACAGTTCAGGGACATGTAAAATATTAGACACTTTTAAAGCTTTATTAACAGACGGAATTGCTGCATGACCCACACGCGAGATGGCCAAACCTGTGCCATCGCCCACTCGCAAAACGTCGTCACCGTGATACTCCTCGGATTGCGTGAGCATGCTGGAATCGGGGGTAACATGCATTGAAGCTCCCGTGTCCGGCAGCCAGGTTGTCACCGAGGGCGAGGACGCCGGCGCTGATCCACCACCTACGACTGCTACATGGGCAGACGGCGGCGGTTCGGAGTACCGCCGGTAACAAAACGCGGCGGAGTGTCCCTGCTTGCTGCATATCTGGCAGCGCACCCCGCCTGACCAGCCACGGCCTCCTCTGCCGCCACGCTGGTTGTCGCGTCCTCCACCACCACGCGACTGCCGACTGCCATCTCCATGCTGACGACGACCACGACCGGCATACATCGCTGAGAGAGGTCCGGTCGCTGCTGCCGGTGTGTGTTTCGGGAAATCATCCTCGTGGATGAATTGTTGGGCCTGGAGAAAATCCGCCAATTGCGGAATGGATACAGGCGTGCTGTTGATCGCCAACGCAGAGGCCATCGACCTGAACTCCGGCCTTAATCCTTGGAAGACATACAAATTCTGCTCCGACGGCGTGAGAGTCCTCCCGGCAAGTGTGAGGTCTTGAACAAGATGCTGCGCCCTGCCTAGATATTCTGAGGTGGAGCTGTCTCCTTGGCGAAGGGATTGGATCTGCCCAAGCAGATTGAGACAACGAACCTGCGTGGATGATCCCAAAGCCGTCTCTGCTACCGTCCAGACACCACGAGCGGTGGTTTGTCTAAGAGCTAGATACATCACCTCCTCAGACAGGGAGGAGATCAAAAGCGAGAGAATGGATGCATCTTGTTGCACCCAAGCAGCATAGGCCGGATTCTCCGTGGTGGAGATGGTGTCGCTGGAGTTGTCACCGGCGGGAACTTCTAGGAACGGTGATGGCTGTGATCGCGTACCATCTACAAAGCTTAATAATCCTTGACCCCGGAGAAACGGGATCACCTGAGTCTGCCAGTACAAGTAGTTCCGATGCGTGAGCTTGAGCGACACGAAGTGATGTGCGCTCGTTAGGGTGTTGGAATAATTATTTGGGGAGGAGATGGTGGTCACGGTACGCTCAGAGCTACTCGACATTGTCGACGGAAAAAAAAATTTGCGTGAGATTTGCCTGGCTAACTGATACCAAATGAATATGGAAAGTGATGATTGATTGACTAACAGAATCAGATTACAATTAATACTCTCAGGAGAGAGAACTAACTAATAGCCAATAGACTAGGACTAATCTACAATACATCAGATAATAACAATATTAATAATAATAATAAAACCATAGACTAACAGTGTTCACCATTGCACGAGAGTTGTGTTCTCGGTGCACCACAACCTCTCGTGCTGCTCTCGGTTTCGGCCGAACCAAGTGACTATATCGGTTAGCCCGCAGGTGCCGGCGCACACGAGCTCGGGCTTGAATCAAGCCTCTTCAATCTCGTTAGTTGGAATTTGATTTGCCCCCCCCCCCCCCCCCCCACGCGCGCGCGAGAGAGAGAGCCTCTATGCTATACAATTCTACAAGCTCCAAAAGAGCTCTTGTATATAAGGGGGGCAAATCCTCTTTCCAAACCAATGTAGGACAAAAGCTCACTTTTTCCCTTCATTTTCTAACTCAAATGGGTCTACTTTGAGAATCAATATCTCATTCACCCATTATCCGTTTTGAGCGTACAATATATCAATCTCTTCGTCTCACTACGAAGAACCCGAATCCACTTTGACCCGACCCAAATCGGAAGTGGACCCCACTGATAATTGTACCACAAAATAGCCACTTAACATGTCATTTTATGCCATTTTAAGCTATTTTTTCCAACTACACAATCCCATCATATTTAGTTATTTACATATTTACCCGTAGTGCAATTAAGCTTAGCCGTTTTAACTTTTATTTGGTTTTTTTTTTTTTTAATTTAACCATTTGTGCAATCTCAGCCATCTAAATTCGCAATCTAATGGTTGTATATTATAAAATACAGATATCATCCTAGCTCACTTTATCCTTACCATTTGTATATGTGTGCGCGTGGGGAACTTTAATGATGTAAGAACAATTTTGTCGAATAAAAATGATAATATAATATTTGTTAAGTAATGTACAATTGTATATTCTAAAAATACAAGATAAAAAAATATTAATAATATAATGACCTAAATCATTATCAATAATGCAAAAACATAATTAAAATATTGAGTCTTGTTTTAAATAATCAAAAGAAGATTAATTAAACGAAAAAAGGAAAAAAAAAAAAAAACTTAACCTAGATTTGTTTTTTTTTTAAGTGCAAGAAAATGATTTTCACGGTTCTTTATTTGTAATCTTTGATGCTCAAAATTGAATGCTATGTATATAGTATGGCTAATTAATTGATCGAAGTTCATGTTAAATTTTATATTGTATTTTTAATACACTATACCATATTAATAGTCTCTGATTGAGATGTGGTTCGAACCTAAGACGTTCTTTATGGAAGTCAATAAGTTAAGAATAATAAATAATTAACGGAATATACCGTTACTAATATTTACAAGGACGAAAATGATATAATAGATGGTAAATTAAAAAAATAATAAAAAATATTAAAATTAAAATAATATGAATCATTTATTCAATATTTTTTAATTTTGACTTATTAAATTAAGGATAAGTAGAAGTAGATATGAATATATTTTTTTTTTATTATAAGAAAAGGGATACCCTATATATATACACTACTTGTCTCAACCAATGTTTAAACCCATCATCTCCCACTTAGGAGAGCAATTTGATACCAGTAGACTACAAGTCACATAGTAGTAAATATGAATATATGATAGACCAAATCAAGCAGCGGACAAAAATGGGTTTTTCTCCAAATAAAAATAAAAATATACCAAAAAAGAATAATAAAAAACAGCGCAGGCGCGTAGCTCGTTGGTGGAGAATTTACAATAAGGTCCTCGTATAGGAACTGCAAAGTTACGTAATTAAGGGCAATACGCAAGTGTTAATTGGTATATAAAATAATAAAAATATAGGTTTTTGCTTCCCCGTTCCGAAGGTCGGGAAGAGGAGAGAATCATATTTCATATCATTAGGGTCTCAGGCCAACGCAACCATGGGCGGCGGAAACGCTCAGAAATCTAAGATGGCTCGCGAGAAGAATCTCGAGAAGATGAAAGCAGCCGGGAAAGGTGATTCATTGTTTTCTGCTCATCGAATAACAATAATTAATGTTCCAGTTTCTCCCCATCCCCTCAATTATACGTATCTGCCTTCCACAATTCAACGGTGACGAGTTTGTTTGATTTTCTGTATTTTTATTCCAAACAAAAAGTTTTTTTTTTTTTTAAATCCCGTTTTGCGCGTCTATAGTTGAAGTTAATTTTCGCTTAAAGTTGTTTACTTACAGCCGAATTGTGCAGGAAGTCAGCTGGAAAGCAACAAGAAGGCCATGAATATCCAGGTACTCCTTTGCTCCTGAAGTTATTATTGGATTAATTGTTGTGTGTTTTACACTATATGATCTTAGATCAGTTAGATGGAAAGGGGGTTTCTGATTCAGGTTTGGTTTTCAATTTTTTATTTGTTACATATGTCTGAATTCAGTAGGGTAAGCAGCCTTCTGCCATTTCCCTAGAGTAAAAAATATATATAGTATTAAAGGAAATGCATCAAGGATAGCTTTGAGTTAAATTTCTATAATTAACTTTGCTAGCTTGTGCATAAGGAAAATGTTCAGATTCTGCGAAACTCATTCTACTCCATGGTTTAAGTTGTTTAACTTTTCAAAAAAAAAAAAAATTTTAAAAAGTTGTTTAACTTATAAGATCCTTACCAGTTACCACCTTGAACTTTGGACAAATCCTCCACTGTTGAGGTGTTTCATTTATAAGATTCTTACCACCCTTCAATCTTGCACCAATACCCGAATATGTGACTTGTTTTAGTCTGCCCTGGATGGGGAGTGGCCTCTTGTTTCATACATCCTGTCCTGTAGCAGATCAGCCTATGCTTCTTGCATTTTGAGTGATGAGGAAAACTCAGAGACACTACCTGAGTGTATGCATTGCATAAATGTTGACCGGCTCAAACTAAGAAGACTAATAAACCGCTCTTGTGGGGTGCTTCTTGGATTTTCCTTTTACGTAACTTGGCTTATGATGGGTGTATGGTAGTATCTCCATTGTCATTGCTAATCTCATCATAATGCTATCTTCTTTGCAAAGTTTGCAATGACATTTGGTAGATGAACATTTAAAGAATAGTTAAATGCATTGTCTACTTTGATCAAAGATATCTTCTAGGTACTCGAGACTAATCATGTCATTTTGTCTTGCTGCCATTTTATCATGAAAGTGGGCCAGAAATGTGGATTTTACAAGTGAATTTTTCCTTATGAATGTTAGGCTTCAATTATATTCATTTCAAAGGGAATGGAATTCCTGATAATCTACTTCTTTTACTCTGGATCTAGTCTGTCTTACAGAAGACACCCGTTTTTGGGCTTAAATCTTTGGTCAATCCCGTTTATTGTGAATTGCTTATCTTGAAAGTGGACACGTAAATTTGGGTGTTATGCTAATCAATCTCTTTGCTTGGATGGTGGCAGTGCAAAGTGTGTATGCAGACATTTATGTGCACAACATCAGAGGTGAAGTGCAGGGAACATGCTGAAGCGAAACACCCCAAGGCTGATGTTTCTACTTGTTTTCCTCATCTCAAAAAGTGAAATATTTCTGTTGTTATAAACTATTTATAGATATGGTAATATCTGTCACCTGTTTCAACTATGACAGTCCAAGCAAGTTATTGAATGTGCATTGCATGGTTGTTTATGAGACTCCCAAGTTGTTTAAGTGACAAATATATATATACATATTTTCATCCAGATGTCTTATTTCATATTCCATTTTTTATTGTTTTTTTTTTGGTACAGTAACAGAAGTTCCACAGAAATGACAGAATTCCCATTTTTAAAATCAAACAAAATTGGTTTTGATATTGTATCATAACAGTCTAGGTAACAGGACATCTCTGGGAAGGGAATTAATATCAATGCCACAATAAAAACAAAATTTACGAACAAAACTGGGGTTTTGATATGGTATCATAACAATCTAGGTAACAGTACATCTCTGGGAATTATATCAATGGCACAACAAAATAAAGAAACAAAATTTACGTGGTTCGGTAATATGCCTACATCATGCGAGATGTGGGAGACTGTACAAAATGAGACATACACAACTCAACTCTGCACCCCATTGCGCGAAAATTATATCAGTATGGGTCTCTCCTTCAGAGTTCAGACCATGAATGTGGCTGCTTTCTGCCATTTTCAGCAGCCCTCACTAGCAAGAAATATGGGTGAGCCTAAAACACAGTGCAGTTATGTGAGAGACTGAGGTTAAATTGTTTGAGGGTTAAAGAAACAAAGTGATGCTGTTAGCAACTATCTATGCATATAAGCAAGCAGGATTACCATTGCTTCTCTTGCTGTGAGCCTATCCTGATGATCATATCGAAGAAGTTTGTCGAGAAAATCAATGGCCTGCAAGTGCACCTCAATGTCGTCGGAAAAGGTCCAGAGTAAAACGGCTATTAATCTGGGTGAAAACATTACCTCAGGCGATACTAGATGTTGATTATCTGCATTTATAAATTTGGACCAGGGCTTTCTGCTGTGCCTGAGAATATACAAATGAAAAAAGCCATGGTTCTGAAGAAGCCAGCTTTTGGCATTCAACATGTTAAAGGACAAAAATTATACCTCCCAACCATAGCGACAAGCTGAGGATCAAGCTCTAAATGATATTTCTGCAAATATGCATTCAACTTGTCTGTCCCAAGAACCTTAAAACAAGGTATTCAGTCCATCAGATACCAAATAAAATTAGCAGCCACCAAACTAACCGTGTCTCTTCCTTTAACTTGATCAGTTTCACAAACCGCGATAAAAATATCCATCAACCACCAACATTTTGACTATTGAACATAGATTAGTTACTAACCCAAACTTCTAAGCTTCAAGATACCTTGGCAATTTTGACAAGCTGGTCTTGGTTATCCCGTCCTTTAAAGAAAGGTTCATTGCGGAAGATCTTCATAGAGAAGAGAACAAAATCAACCAGATTGACTCAGAAGGAATAATATAAAAAAGAGGAAAGAATAGAAAAAACAAGAAAGAATTAAAATTCAAGCTCATTTTCTAATCCTCATAAGATGTCCCCAGCCTAGGACAGTCTTGCGTCTTGACTGTTTATACATGAATAAAGAACAGGATAACCAAACACGAGTAGATGAATGCTTACCATTCCAGCAAACATGCAGCCAAGGCTCCACATATCCAAAGAATAGTCATAGTCTTGCAACTCAACCAGAAGTTCAGGACCCTTAAAGTACCTGAACAATAGTATTTTTTCATCATGATTTCAGTATGCATTACAGTTCAAACTGTTATAAAGTAAAAGATTATTGTAGGCTTTTGCAAGGCCCTGCCTTTACACATAGGAGTTAGTTCGTACCTTGAAGCCACACGTACATTATATTTCTTTCCTGGGTGGTAAAATTCAGCAAGCCCCCAATCAATCAAGCGAAGCTTTCGCAACTCATGGTCTATCATAACATTATGAGGCTTGACATCTCTATGCATTATTCCACGCGAATGACAATAGTCTAACGCCTGCAGTTTCATCAAGAATTTAAAATTTTCATTTTTCCTCTACAAATGTCAACTTAAGATCATCTTAGAGAAGGGAAAAATAAACGCACCTATTTAATCCTACATTCTTACCTCAAGAAGCTCATATATGTAGTAACTTATGTCATAATCTGTTAATGTGGAGTATAAAACCTTGAAATCCGTATTCTTCACATACTCAAATATCAAGCTTGGAGTTTTTGAGTGCTGATCCCTGACAGTGTTGAGAAGTTTGACAATATTTGGCCCACCATAGAGGTTTTGCAATATTTTGATCTCTCTCTTTATCTGTGATTGATTATGAAAGTAAACATGTGTCAACACTTCACATGGACCATTTCATAGTTCAAGCGAAAAGGAAAAGAAAGATAATGCAATGCACATGATCAAATCGATATTCAATTTAAAGAGAAGAAATGTTTCTTTAGATACAACACGTAATGCTCTATAAAAGCAACAATGGAACTGTGAAGATGTTGAAAAGGCAAAAATAGAATGTGCATCTAAAAGAGAACGCTCTTAACCAGAATATTAATAGCATTCTTCCTTTACCATTTCTATAAATGAATCACAAAGAATTAACTTTCATTAACCTTCCCCATGCAAATATTATCTGCAATGGCAAGAGATAAAGAAGTTTCCCAACCTTTTTCTTCTTAACCGGCTTCAGAATCTTAATTATGCACTTCTCGTTGCTACTAACACGTATTCCCTCATAAACTTCACTGTACTTTCCTCTTCCAACTTTTCGAATGATTTTGTAGTCATCCTCATTACTGCAATAATAATACCAAACATTAACATGCAAATCCTGGTACTGTCAAAAACAGACACGAGGATGGAAAGCGTAATGAGAACCATCATTCTTTGTCTTCAAATCCACATCTTAAGTTCTTAACTACCAATGGATCATATGTAAGGAAGGAACATGCTTACCTTTGTGCCTGAAATTGGTTCCACAAAACACATTCAGTTTAGCAAGGCAATGAAACACTTTTTTTAATCCTTTAATGATAAACTAAGATTGCAAAGAAGGAAATTGCACTCAAAGAGGGCAACCCAGCCAAGTTGGTGAGGTTGTTAGCATAGTAACTACATTGTTACAAGTTCGACTCCCATGAGAGGAGCGGCCTATTAAACTTCTAACTTCTTAGTTTGAGCCGGACAACTTAAAGCTAGTTTAGCTCTAGGATCAATGAACATCCTCCCTCATAACTCAAAAAAAAAAATAATAATAAATAATAATAATAATAATAATAATAATAATAATAATAATAATAATAATAATAATAATAAATTGCACTCAAAAGAGCAGTTGAACAGGGAACCTAACAATAGAACAGCTAAAGATTTGCCATTCAAGATTACAATGCGTTTTCAAGTATGCAAAATATATGAATTTCCCCCTTCTATCTATCAAGATCAGAACTTGATCAAATGTCATTATGCCTAAAACCTCATTGCTGCATTTCAGAAAGTGGAATACTTACCCCCACTGAACAGTGAAGGACTCGTAGTCCCAGTACTCCCGAGGACGAAGCACGTTGACATCGGCGTACACTCGAGCTTCCGACATGGCTCTCTTCGCAATCCCTGCCTCCGACAAGTTAAGGAAGCCGGTTGTCGACGATTGCTTACTTTGGGCACAAGACGGCGGCATGCGGCGGAGGTTAGGGTGTTCCGCAATCGGCGCACGCAGAGCTATGATGGCACACACGAGAGATAAACGGAAAAAAAGCTGCCCGCATCTCTCCGGTGACGCCACCGCCGCCAGCCCGCTTCTCACTGTTCATCACCCTCCCGTCCCACAAGCGATGATATCAACGCGCCTCACTTTCTTCTACTTTACCTCCTAAAATTATTTCTTAATACTCACTTTGTAAAAAAAAAAAATAATAGGGATAAGGGTTAAGTCCTCCTATTATACTCAAAAATGTAGAATTAAACATTTCAACTTCAAAAAAACCTCCAATTAAAATTTCAAAGTTACAAAAAAAATAATAATAAATAAATAAAAAATTACAGTTACACTATTTTGTAGGTTATCTCCAGGTAACCTGTAAATTATTTATTAATTTGATTTTTTAAGTTTATTTGACAGGCTAATGTAGCATCCACATATTTTTAGAAAAGGTAGATTATATTAAATTTTTATTTTAATTAAATAAGTAATAATAATAATAATAAATTTTAAAAATAATCTTGTTGTCGGTTGTTGATCATCGGTGTTTATTCTCGGAAGATGGCATCATGACGTTCTGAATCATCGTTTTTTTCGAAGAATAGTGACCTTCTTCTTGAGAATGGCGTCATGGCCTTCTTCCACATTTGGAAGAAGGTCGCCGCTGCGGCGCTGCCTTCTTCCAGATTTGGAAGAAGGCAGTCAGGGCCATCTTCCAGACCTGAAAGAATGTCAGCATGATGCCTTCTTCAAGGTCTGGAAGAAGGCTGCGACGCCTTCTTCCCAGAAGAAGGCACGTGTACTGCACGCGCCAGTCTAGGCGCCTAAGTGCCAACACGCATGCGGAACCTTCTCTTTTGTCCTACTCGTGTGAGTCCCATAAAATATTAGCTTTGTAAGAGAAAAAATTTTCATTCCCATTTGTAGAAAAACCTCTCCATAATTTTTCTTCCTCAAAAATCGTGAAAAAAAGTTATGTTGTAGATGCTCTAAGAAAATGAACTGAAATTTGTGCTATGCAGCTCAATTGATTTGTAGGTACAATAAATGAAAGCCATGGTTACCATGTAGTAAGGATTCCTTGTGGTCATCAACCATGATTTACTTTTTACCATTATGACGGGTCAGTTGTGGGCTTCTAGGGGCGAGAGAATCTGAATGCAGTTCAATTGAATTTTAGGCAATTAGTAATAAGTAATAACACATCATCTATCTTTGGTAGTGATAATATTTGAGTTACACGTAATATGATAGACTCCTTGTGAATCACATCAACTTTATTTTATCCTTTCACTATTCTAACGGATCGAGATGTGAATGTTTTAGAGCAAGAAAATTTTCCCTAGGCAAAAGAACATAACAGAATCTGGGGACAGCCTAGCATTCATTGGCCTCAATTGAATTCTGCAGCCAAATCGTGACATTAAAGAAGATAATATAAAAATGATGATGCTTTTCAAATAATGGATGTTTCTTAAAGCTTTCCCCATAGAAGATTCAGATGCATTCAACTCAATCCAAACATTACATCAGGATATATAAAAACTATGCTGCCCAGAAGCATTTTCTATTTGGACTTGGAATCTGATGTTCGTTTGGTGGGAGACAATCTCGAAGCCTCGAGCTTTCCTATTCACGTCTGGTTCCACGTGGTAGGTGGAGCATGAACATTAAACAGGATCAAATGTTAGTTGAGGAAAACTAAACAATGTTTTGCTTTGCTCATTCCATGATAAAAAAAAAATACTAAAACAAAATTTGGGTCTGCATCAGATTCCTCCCAGTTTGTTCCTATTATGTGGGTTGAACAATAATTCTTGCAAGATTGATTTTTTTTTGGAGAGATCGCAGGTATTAGAGGGAATCTTGGAGGAAAATCATTGAAAATCTTTAGTCCAACTAATACTAGCTAGCACACAAACATATAAGATTGTAAAATCAGTTAATTCTTGAGTAGTAAATTGTGAGTCAGAGGGGCTAGGGCGTTTCGATCCCTCTTCACATGTGGGACAACTCATGAGATTCCCTGTAGATATTTTCAGATATAGACAATTGTGGTGTTTATCTGCTGAAATCTGAGCCATTTTCTTGGCTCCAATCTGTGTTAGTAAAGCAAAGAAATGGAGAATTGACAAGTGTGAAAAAGGCTCTACTGATAGAAGAAAAAACTGCACACAATTAACAATCACAGAAGCTAGTCTAGCATGTTATGATCATCTGTTTTTCAAACTTCAACTTCAAGTCATGTTTAGGCTCAAGAACTGGAAAAGCCAAGGAGGGTGGGTCTTCTTCATCTGATCTTGTGTAAACTGCTGTGCAGGAGGAGCATTGGATCTGCTTTTGATTTCACCAAGATTTGACTCTGCAGCCTTCCCTGAACTGCTCCTCCTTACATGGCTAGAATAATCTGAGGAGGAAGAGGAAAAGCTGAGAGCAGAATCTGAAGCCGCCTCTGCTGCTTTCCTCCTGCGATTATTGTAACACGATGGGCCTAATGTCAGCTCCAGCTTGCTCTCGTCGTCTTCGATTCCCAGATCACCAGACTCCCCAATGCACTCTTCTTCTGCAGTCCCCTTGCTGGAATTTGAATTGGTAATAGCAGCTTTCTTGGCACCCTTCTGGCTTTCTTGCCTTTTCTGCTCTGCAATGTTCTTCATTAGCCCCTTCTGGATTCGATACAGACGATGAAGCTCATAAACCTGGATGCAAATTAAATGGTAACAAGCCTTAGCAGTTAAAATCACTGCAATTGAGAAAAACAAATTAACCATGAACAGACAACAACCCAGTACCTGGTATCTGAAGGTTTCCTCATGCTTTAACATAGCCATCTTCATAGATTCCTTATCATATGGATTAACAACCTTTTCCATTGCAGTAAAAACCTGCAGAATTCTGGGTTTCTCAGCACCCTTTTCTTGGCACTTGCAGCCCCTCACCCTCCCTCAGTTTATGTCTCCCTTTATAGACCTTGGGCTACAAAAAAGGGTGGTTAAATCCACACATGCCATTATCAAATATCTGAGCATGGCACAATAATTTCACTGTCATCATAACAGTTTCTGCCTTGTGATGATGCAACATTTGATAGATATTTCACCTCTCCACCAGGTCAATGTCAACCCACATTTCAAACAATTCCCCTTTAAACTTCAAACTTAACAATTAAGATATGACACTAGGCAGAATCATGATATGATGTTCCTGCAGGCTGCAGCCTATTATGCAAATCATATTCCTAATCTAATTTAATTATGATGTCTGCATTTAAGAAACACAATTAAGCTAGAATGAAAAGTACAGCATAGAAATGAAGAATCAGAGATTAGCTAGGTTCATACCTTGAAGAGCTAGGTAGCTAGAAGAATCTTGAGACTAGGGGGTAGCCCAGAATTGAATTGAAGATGAAGTGGATAAGAACAACAATAGAATCCTAGTACTGACGAGGAAGAATTTTAAGGTTGTGGGTTTTACTACACAGAGATCGAAATGAAAGCAGTATTTGCTGGGGATGTGATGATGATGATGGGAAGATCGAGGTAGGGAAGAAGTGGCCAATAACATTCCAGTTTTGTGAAAGAGATGGATGCCCCCTAGAGCAGCTCATATTAAATATGGGATCATATATCTTCGGAAAATTATAAGCTAAGGTTTGATTAATTAATTAAGTATTAATGATGGGTGTTTATATATTGATCAGAAATGCCGGGCGATTTCGCACTACTTAATTAAGGTAACAACTAAGAATCACATGCATGCCCACAATTATATATTGCTTCTGCACAGTTGTCTCGACAATACCCATCACACCACCTGTGAATTCAATCCGGATCTTATGATCACGTCGGATTCCATCTTAGCCGTACGCTCTGTGTGTACATGCACTAATCATCCAGTTTAACTCAACTTTATCCAAATACATTTTATTGAAAAAAATTTCATTTTTTTTAATTGAAATATCTGACTCATTCCTTTAATTATAGGGTATTCACATTTACTCCATTAATCATAGATGACCATAGTCCGGTTTGAATTCGTAGGTTTGCAGCTTGAACTAAACTAGCTACTTTGCAAACCTAACCGAAATAATTATCCCGACTATTTCGATTCTGGTTTATAAATTATATAGGAACCAAAGTTACGGGTTCAAATTTTCAACCGGGTAGTTTTAATTCCAAACTAGAAACTAAAAATATAGTTATTATTATTATTATTATTATTATTATTATTATTATTATTATTATGTGGAATTTGATTATAATTAAAATTTTAATAATCAAAATTATTACTCCGTATTATCTTTGTTTAACTTCAAATTCTAAATATTTGATCTAAAGGTTATTTTAAAATTATAAATCATTTTGAAAAGTTGAATTTGGATAATTTTAAATATGGGAATTGGAATTTGGAATAAAAAAAAGATATATTGCGAGGAGCATACATTTATGGTTCCACTAATCATGGCCGTCAAAAGGAGCATGTGAAGGGGGCAAGACCAATATGTAATGAGATCCAATGGTCAGAATTTCGACCGTGTGGCTTAGAATATCACCATCACTAGCTTTAGCTTGTCTCCATATGTGCAGTTTGATCTAATGTAAATCCGACCAGATTTATGTTCGTAAGTAACCCCCTCCAACTTTATTAGAAAGTATACTAATGATTAATCCATACTTATATAACTGAGTCATATAAACAAGCTAGATCTAGTACTAGCAAAAAAACAGTAACTCGGATCAATTGACACTTAGGTGATAACGTGATAAATTGTGACCACAAATTTGACAATTATACTATGAAAGTTATATCCAATATAGTACGTTCCTTGTGATTTTTTATATAGACAATGTAAGTTGTTTATTGACTTTCTCGTTGGTCAGAATCAAAATAAGTTTCACCCAAAATATGTATTCAAATAGGTATTGCGCTCTTAATTGGGCCAACCCGATGTGAACAGGAATTAGTATGAGTATGGTACGAGCTTAAATGTGCAATCATTATATCCTGCATCCTGGCCCAAAACAACGTCATTTTTATAAGTTGTGTGGGAAGTTGACGCGACGCACACCGTTTCGTCTGTCCAATCCCGTTACAATTTTTTTTTTTTTTTTAACACTGGTGTTTATGTGTATTCTGTGTTAAGAGTTTATGTGTATTTTGTTAAGAGTTTATGTGTAGTAATATACGGAGTAATATGTTAAGAGTTTATGTGTATTATGTTAGATTATGTGTATTATGTTAGGAGTTTATGTGTATTCAATTATACAATTCTGTACATCCGAAACAAGATTTTTTTTTTTTTTTTTTTAGTTAACGGCAGAAACAGAAAACGAGATCATTTTGGCTAAGGCGCACCATACATTGTGTGCCCTATCGTACGATATAATTTGCCTTGAAGTTGAAAGTGCCTCCTACCGTTATAGTCTATCCAAGACACCTCGTGGTCTGACAAAAAAAATAAGTATTGCAAATTTTATCTTAAATCAAAATAAAATGTAATATAAGGAAAGATATGAGAGGAGATTGGAGAGAGATGAATGGTGTAATGAAGGAAAGCAAAAAAGAAGAAGATTGGGACATTGGAGCACGCGTTGCCGGTGTAGGGTAGCGCCCAGCGGGTCCTATTGTACGGCTTTTCTATAATCTTAGCCACGGGTTTGTATCTATTATTATTATTTTTTTAAATTATTATATTTGTTAAATTTTATTCATGTATTTTTGTTATATCTATATTTTTTTAAGGAGAAATGATATTTTTTTTCATTTAAAATTTTCCTATAATATTTTCTCATAATGTGACTTAAAATTAGTACGTGGTGCCTATGAATTGAGTGACCCTATCATTAATTAAAGAAAGAAAAGTTAATTGTCAAATTTGAAAATATCATGTAACGAGGAGAAGATTATATGTGAAAATTTTGGATGGTTGAACTTTTTAAAGAAGAAATTTATTCTTTTAAATTAATTTTAACTTCAAACATAAATATTATTAGTGTGTTAGATAAGTGTTTTAATTTATCTAAATTAAAACTCATGAGAAATAATATAGAATTCGGATAATTTTGCTCGGTAAATTTCATGCATGCATGAAATGAAAGTTGAGAGATGCATAATAATAATATATATAAAGTTAAAAGGTATTGATTATGAAAATTAATTAACTCAAAAAATCATCATATTGAATTATTCATTATAAATCAATATATAAAATTATATTGTAAATACAAAGAAAGAAGGAATGAAAACCTAAATTTTAACATGAAAATGCATCCCATCAATATATAATTAAATCTCCCATATTTTCTTTAAATAATTGATATAACTATATACATGCATGCTATGTTGTTCATATATATACATCTCCACATATTTTGTCTCCATATTTAGTATGCAAAGACGAGAATGAGATACTTCTGTAGATTCTATCCTATCCTATGAATTGGTGGCTCTCTATCCACACGTACCATTCTCCTTCTTTTACAACAACGTACTGCCAAATAAACCACCATATCATATCTTCCTCAATTTCATACATAAATATTTTCAATTGTAAAGTTGCTAGTCACTATTTAAATAGGGTTATATACTAAATGTACTTTCAAATCTTACTCTCTCAAGTTTACTCTCTGATGCGGCAGGTTCTGATAGGTTATTATATTCATGCGGGGCCCTGTAAAAGTGTCTACATCAATCTTTTAAATGTGGGGTACAAGTTGAGAGTATGAAATGAGAGTAAATGTAATATTATATTTTTCATTTAAAATATGTGTTATGGATGTAGTAGATATTAACCGGCAAAAGACCACAATAAAGTAAACTAGCTTGGGCGGGTGGGGTGAGCCATCGAATACATAAGGTGCTTGCAATGGGGTATTAACAGCTTGAAGCTCAAACACTGCATGGTAGTTGGCATAAGTGAGAATTATAACGACGTCGTTTTGGTGTATTTTCCAAAAAAAAAAAAAAAAAAAAAAAAAAAAAAAAACCTCTGTTTCGAATACACATAAACTCATAACAGAATACACAGAAACTCATACCTGAATACACATAATCTAATATGATACATAATACCATACACAGAAATTCTTAACTGAATACACAAAAACTCTTAATTGAATACACAGAAATTCTGAACTAAATACATAGAAACTCTTAACTGAATACACATAAACTCTTAACTGAATACACAGAAACTTATAACACAATACATAGAAACTTTTAACTGAATACACATAATAGGGTTTGGGCCGTTTGGACGGACAGAGTGATGTCAGCAATTGAAATGCGCAAATTTTGTGCCTGGACGCATATTGCTATGTGCGCCTTGATGCACAATATAAAATGCCGTAAAATAGTTAACTTTTCAGTCAATTTTAGCTTATTAATTATTTTTATAATTCTAAACGCGGCTCAAAGCAACTAGTTGTACTTTAACGAATATATAAAGTTAGACATTAACTACTATACCATATGAAACTAACTCGTGTTGGTAGATTTAATCAAAATCTTATATTTCTGTACAAATTTTAATTAGTAGTCGATGTGTGATGCATTGAGGACACAAAAAATAGTGTTAAAAAAGAAAAAGAAAAAGAAAGGTACACATGGTGACAGACAGACATGAATTATTTTTTTTGATAACGACAGACATGAATTATTGAATCCTTATTTGTCTCTATCAATCCCACTTTTCTTGCAATGCCTGTCCGGCCTGATCTGATGATCTTTCTCATTCAGGTTTAGTTTAGCCACACATGTTTGGAAAAGTCGTCTATTCATTTCATTGGCTCATCAAAGAATATTGATTCCCTAATTAAAATTTATTTATTTTACAACCAAATTCCTTTTCGTAGATAATTAGAAAAGCTAATTATGTCTAACCTAGTTTGTCAAACGTTAAAAGGTAACCCATCTTTTCACTTTATTAGCATATGTTACATCGTCATCTAGTTTATTGTTTGAGGTGTGCACTGAACTCTTATGTAATAGCCTGCACACGTAGGATGTCTGGACAAACTTTATTCCTATGTAATAATATATTAATAGCTTACAAACTACATAAAAGGTCTAGTTAATCATTCATTTAAAAAAAAAAAAATGCCAACCCTAACTAGAATGTGACTCAAATATGAAACATTTCTTATGAAAAATAACAGTAATGTCATTCCATCATAATATATTTAGCATTAATTAATCAATTAATTATTTTTTTTTTAAAAAAAATGACACAAGAGCAGTGACATATGGATCAGATCATAGGCCCAGGAAAGCTTTGCTACAATATATGACACAAGATCATAGGCCTACGGCCCAGGAGAAATGTAAACAAATGGGCCAACAACCCAAAGCCTTTTAAGACAAAATTCAATCAGATTGGGCGCAGTTTTGCCAGTTGTTGTTATACAGTGGACCATGGTCCATAGTGCTTATGTGGACCATACTTGTAAAATGAAATTGCAGTAAAATTAAAATGATATTTTAGTGTGGTTAAAATAAAATTAGTGTGTGTGAAAAAAGAAAATTAAAAAATAAAACTCATTTAACAACGTATATTGTCAAACGAAACTGTAGTATAATTAAAATGATAATTTAATGTTGTTAAAATGAAACTAAAATCCAGAGTGATACAATAA